ACTATAGCAAATATCCGAACTGGACCAACAGTCAATATTGGAGACAATGGATTCGAGCTCAAGCCAGCCCTCATCAACATGGTGCAAGCAAGCCAGTTTTGTGGAAAGGCACATGAAGATGCGAGTGTACATCTCCAACACTTTCTGGAGATCTATAGCACTTTCACCATTAAAGGAGTAACCCAAGATGTCATACTACTTCGCCTCTTCCCATTCTCACTCTTGGGGAAGGCAAAACAATGGTTCTACGCCAACAAAAATATAAATACTATATGGGATAACTGCTCCACTGCCTTCCTAGCAAAGTTTTTTCCCATAGACAAGACCAATGCTCTGCGTGAAAAAAATCTCAAGCTTTTAGCAACAACATGATGGATCTGTCACTGAGTCATGGGAACGCTTTCAAGATTACATTGCGAAATATCCTCATCATGGGATGGAGAATTGGCTACTCATGCAGACTTTCTACCACGGGTTGACCAACAATACCAGTGAGACTATAAATGCTGCTGCTGGAGGTGCATTGCTGTCACTCACCATACCAGTAGCAATAGCTCTTGTAGAGAAAATGGCCTCCAATCAAGGTTGGAATGAAAAATGTCTTCAGACCCGCAAGAGAGGTGGAGGTATGCATCCACTCAAGGAGGTAGACATGTTGTCTGCCAAGATAGATCTGCTGATGAAGAAGCTCGAAGATCGAGCCAATGAGAAGCAAGAAGTCATGCACATTCATGATTTCCGCATGACGTGTGAAGAGTGTGGAAACACTAGGCATTCAGGGAGCAATGGCCCTAGACCCAAGAGGATGTGAACTTTATCAACAACAACTACTCTCGTCCTCAATAGAATCAAGGATGGAATCAGCGACAGAGGCCGAACTACCAAGGTAACTATCAAGGTAATAATTTTTAATAATTTCAATTAACTATCCTTGAGAGAATTAATTGTTGGCCAATCCAAACTTATGGAGGATTATCTAGAAAGGTAGTTACCAATGGTAAAATTCTAGAGAACATAAATAATAGAATGGATAGTTTTGCTTCTACCATTAAGAACCAGCATATCTTTAATAAAATTATAGAATCACAAATAGCTCAGCTGGCGACTGTTGTTCCTCCGTCCGACAAAGGTAAGATTTCGGGACAACCGGAAGATCTAGAAACTGTGATATTCACATTGCAGCATACTACTGTATACAACCATCGTCGGGAAGGTGGATAGATTATACCTTGCCGGAAAAGAAGAGCGATCCAGGAAGACCTGTCATCCCCATCGTCATTGGACCTCACATTTTTTAAGAAGCTATCTGTGACTTTGGAGCAAGTGTCAACATCATGCCTAAGGTAATTTTTTATCAAATTAATGGAGATACTTTGTTGTACACAAATATGCATTTGCAGCTTGCAGATGAGTCACTCTGCTACCCCAAGGGAGTTCTAGAAGATGCCATTGTTCATGTGGGACAATCATATGTACGCAATTATGAATCTAACGCAACTTGAACGGATCAAATCGGAGTTAAAACGAAGATTTTATGGCTAAAATAAGATCAGTGGAAAATCTGTAAATAGATTAAAGCGTATTTTGGATATAACCAAAACAACTACGTTTTCAAAAGAAGAAAACGTATTTTGAATCTAACAGAGGAATTCTACGCTTTCTGAAAGAGAAAACGTATTTTAAATCTGCTAGAAGTAGACTACGCTTTCAGAAAAGCAAAACGTATTTCAGAAACACGCTATGGACTGTGGGTTCTATTACGTGAAACTGCAGGGGCTCTTATGCAAAAATGACTGGCCGAACCGGTACGTGTGAATCTGGGCCATCGGATCGAGAGTGGACGGTTGAGACAGAAAAGATGGAGAGAGGTCACTACACACAGGAAACCAACGACGGCTCCACGGCCGGAGACGACGAGACCTCGCCGGAGTTCACGGGAATCAGCCTATGAGCCATGATTCGAAGCGAGAAAAACACCGGGAGGTAAAGGAGAAGATGGTGAACTCGATTAGGCATCTTACCGAGGCACGGAGCGGACGGAGGCGGCGCGCGGCTCGACAACTTGTGCTCGGCGGCGGCGGCTAGGGCTACGGCGGCGTTGCGTGCTAGAACAAAGGCGGCGGCTACGCTTAGGGCTCGATGGGGCGGCATGATGCGGTGCAGGGGCTCTGGCTACTATTTAAGAGGCAGGGAAGCTTGACGCACACGGCAACGGACGGCGCCGGGGCGGCAGCGTAGTCCGGCGCGAACACGGCGCAAAGTAGAAGATGGAGAGGACGCTGACAGGTGGGTCCCACAAGTCAGCGACAGGAGAAGCACGGGAGAGAGGGGAAGCGGCGCGGGCGACGCACTGTGCAGGCGTGGCAGGGCCGGGCGGTGACGCTGGGCTGCGCGGAGTAGGGAGACGGAGCAGCCGCCAGGATGATGGGAGCGGGCCGAGAGCGGAGGCGTGGGGGAGGGGAAAAGGCCGGCGGGGAAAGAGAGCAGATGGGCCGGCCTGCTGGGCTGCCTGCGGCCACGGGCCAGAAGAGAGAGGGAGAGTTTTTTCTTCTTTTCTTTTATTCCAAAGCATTTTTTTCAAATGAATTTTTGAATTCCTTTTGAATTTTGAATCAAACCACTTAGCACAAAAACTCCATTGCAACAGCATGTATGCACAAACATGTTGCAACCTTATGATAACTTTTAATTTAACGAAAAATTTTATTTTCCTATATTTTCATGAGCACAAAAATACAGAATTAAATCACTTCATCTCTATTTCAAAAAGAAGCAAATTTTAGGGTGTTACAAGGAGTATTTGGAAAGCAGCTATTGAAGTGCCTGAACCGTGACTTAGGGCTCTTGGTGGGTTTCAACTCTAGACTACCCCAACTTGCTTGGGACTGAAAGGCTATGTTGTTGTTGTTGATGATGATGATATTGTGAGCCACCATAGATGGAGACAGGGGACAGATAGGAGTTGCTAGCACCGATGGCAATCTGGTTGCTTGTCTGTATAAACCCTGAGCATAGTAGATTGTAACATCCTGTTTTGTTGTACGCATCCCGTTACAATATTCCAAATTAATAAAAGAATTAGTTCATTATTATGCAATTTCTGACCTTACAAAAAAAGGACCAATATAAAAATGATGATAAAAAACACTATAATGTTTATCTTACAGTCCAGTAGATGAAGAGTCATGTGTGTCTATCCTTATACAGACCAGGGTAAACCTACAATTTGCAGAAAACATATATACATTAGCAATATCGAAAGATATTTCACAGCTAACTACACCTCTACAGAATACCTATGTCTTACATAATAGTACGATGTTATCATCTACCAACTCTGTCAGTTCTCTTGAACTTTTAAACAGCTAAATTGGCATACAATTTATTTTATTGTATGAATTGTCAAGTACTAGTAATAATGACTGAAGGAATTGTAAGCTAGCTGGGCCGTCGAAGATTTATTTTGTCAGGTGGCAAAAGAGGACAGAATTTGAGGTTGTCATTTGGTGAAGCAGACAAAACTGGCAGGATGATCTTAGTGTTGCTGTTCTGTCTTCTTTTTCCATTGAGATCATCAAGGTATAGCGTGAAGTCTCGCAACAAGTCAACCAATATGTGAAATGGCCATCGAACCTTATTTTAAATTGTTGAGAAATTAACAGAGCTACTACTTGTTTGTCTCATCTCATTGGTTGTAATCAACTGAGTTCGTTTAGACATACCGTCTCATTTCTTTTGTAACAAGACTCATCTGCCATCCTGCTTCTATAGTATTGAGGTCGTTGTTTGAGTAGGACCCACTACTAATCCAGAACTGGGCCAAGCTGAATCCATTGTCCCTCTCAACAATTGGTTCCCACAAATTGAAGGTTGCTTGAGTACCATAGTAGTTCTCATCCTCCGATGCGGATGCTATGGCGTGCTGCACAATGGGAGAGAAAATAATAAAATTAAATGAGAAATTTCAGAGATAATAGCAACAACCCAGAAAGAAGATTATTATTAGTAGTACTATGAATGTGATTCTAGGTGGACATTTTGTACCTGGTGGCCTCTTAATACGTTCGCCGTGTCAGGGTCATCAATGGAAAAACGGTTTGGGATGCTCCAAGGCCACTTCTTGCCATATCTCTCAATGGAACTCACCGTCAGGACATCCTCTTCTTTGGTCCTTCGGATTGGTATGGTGTTCTCTGGGACTTGCCATTTTGATGCCATGTTTGGGTGAAAGGATTGGATGCAATGTTTGACTTGTTATTGAGGCCTTCTGGGTGGCAAGAGGCCGGCCTCATCTCAAGGGTGACCATAGAGCACCATTTGAGTCATATCATGATATATACATATCACGATAAGGTAGGCGTAACATGCACAACACTTAAACCAAAAGGTAAATGGTGCTATAAAGAGATGAACCTGGATAGTATGGTTCTTGAGGAAAGGATGATCAAATGCAGGCTGTTTGGAGATGTGCACACAGTCAATGATATCTCCATCTGGGCTCTGTTAAGTTCTCATCAATTTTGCAGAATCAGTTTTTGCAATAAGTCAGAGAAAGAGAAGAGATCATTTATGTTAATATTTGATCAACAAAATAAAGAAGCCTCCATTACGTTAATTTTGATCATCAAAATTACCACATTAACTGAAAATAAATCAAATTGCCCTTATGCCTATTTGTGTATTTTTCATCAAAGCCATTATAAAATTAAAGTATAATATAGGTAATTAACTTTGTTCCACAATACAATTAAGAATACAGAGTTGGCATCATAAAAAATTCACACAATCTTTTTAATAAATTTGGTAATAAAATTCTACACATATTGAATAATATGATTGGTTATATAAACGTAAAAAGGACAACTACATATTGGCAGGACTACACTACAGCTTATGAACCGATCCTAAAAAACGATTTCTGGGGATGGCTGACATAAATAAACAACCTCTAGAAATCTACAAGTTTTAGGGCGGCTTCGTTATGCCAATCACCCCAGAAAATGGGGGTATTTCTATGGCCAACCATGAAAATTGACTTTTAGAGGTGCTTCACGAAAAGGCACTTGTGCTGCAACAGCCCCAACTGCGAGCGAATTTTTTTTCTATTTTTTTGTTGCAGTTTATTAATTTTATGTGTTTTTAAATATATGAAACGGTTGTTGACTAAGTCAAATTCCCCTAGAAATGGTTTTTATGGATGGTTGACTCAATAAAACCATCCGTAAGGTATGAATTTCTTGTAGTGACGAGGTTTCCCAGAAAATCAAACTCGGGCTCAAAAAAAATAGCAAAAAGTTTTTTAATACCGGGATACCCCACTGTACAGCCACACGCAAGTCACACATTTTTTTTGCACTTTTTGCGACCACCGGTGCTTAAGGATGGCAACGGGTCGGGTTCGGGGCGGGTGGAGCATCCGCGGACCCGAAACCCAAGAAGGAAACCGAACCCGCCCCGAACCCTGTTTCGGGGGAAGATCCGCCATGCCCCCGAACCCGACGGGGAACCCGAGACCCAGGAAACTTACAACAGGATGGGATTGTGGCTACGGAACGAGGTCACGGGTCGCGGCTGGTGGTGCGTCGGGGACGGCGTGGCTTTGGCATGACAGCGAGGTGGAAGAAGCGGTGTGACAGCGAGGTGGAAGAAATGCGGGCTCGTGGTGCGTTGGTGCCGCCTAGCCACCTACCGTTGTGCGCCGGTGCCGCCCTAGTAGCCTGCCGCAGTTCCGCTCGATGGGAGGGGACGAGCGAGCTGGAATGGAGGGCAGGGCGGATGGAGTCGCTTCATGGATGCAAAGCGAGATGCAGAGTCACGGACACGGGCGGTGTCGCGAGACAAGGGGCAGTCACATGACGGCGGGCGTGGTGTCACGGACGCTGGACGCTGGGTGGAGTCGCTGGACGCTGGGAGCCCGTGGACGCTGAGTCCTGAGTCAGGTGCGGCTTATGGCTAGGGGAGTGGGGAGAGGAGGAGTCGATTGCTAGGGTTACAGGTTACTTGGCTGGCTTTGGTGGGCCTTTTTGCAGGACTGCTTAAAACTTCAGGTCCCCGACGGGCACCCTCGGGGAGACTCAAAACCTGACCCCTCAGGTGGTACAAAACCCGCGGGTTTCGGGTCTAGACCCGCCCCTTTGCCATCCTTACTGGTGCTCGAATCCATGACCTCAATCTTCGCGTGTTCATCCCATAACGACTCCACCCATAAGACACTTGTCTAGGGATATTCGTCGTCCCAATTTTATGTTCATCTGATTTTGAAATAAGTATTTGGGAACCTAAATAAATTCAAATGAACAAGTTGTCATCTATAAAGTTTTATAACTTTTCAAGATCTACGACTTTTCGTTTTGTCGCTTTCTCCATCCGAGGTAGCTTGTAAGGGGGGTCACCTGGACCCCGAAAACTTTTTTTCTTATCAATGACAAGCCGAGTAACTGGATCTTTCAAAAAAAAAAAAAAGACCAGCTGCTGATAATTGTTAGTGAGCTATTTGCTCACTAACTATCTAATCCACCGTGAGCCCTCCCAGGGAGGATTTCTACTTCTGTTCCTTAGCCTATGGGAGATAGCAACTGTTTATAATTGTTGGTCCTGTCCCAAGGGCAGATTCTTACATGTTAAAACCTGTTTGCTACTGGAAACAACACTTCCCTGTTTGACTTGCATGTCTTGACAATGCCGCCAGTGAGTATATGCATTTTATTAAGACATTGGGTATTTGGATAGATAAAAATATAGTGTCTGCAAAAACTGTCATTCCTCGAAGAACTATAATTTCTCAAAATTTCATTTCTGTGTGGTTTCTGGTCTGCAATTGTTGGGTTCTAACACTCGTGCAAACTAAAGGCCATATCAGAAGACTGATTCTCATTTAATTTCTTCTGTTAGGTATTTGATTGTTATTGATGATGTCGATGACATCGAGGAGGGACAGTGGGATACTATAACATCAGCATTTGAAGGAAATGGTGAAGGCAGCAGAATTATGGTGACCACAACCTTTCGGCCTACCGCTAATAGACGAAGTGATACTAATGGTTGTGTGTACAAAATGAGAACTCTTGGAATGAAGGATTCTATGACAATTGCTCTTCGTGGAAGAAGTGCAGCTGAGTTGGTGCAGGGTTCGGAGACACTTTTGAAGAAATGTGATGGCCTTCCGCTTGCTCTTGTCAGTGTGGCCAGGTAATTAAGCAGTGAAGATGAACCTACGGGGAAATTCTGCTCAGTGTTATGCAGCAAGCCGGGTTCTTATCTTGAGAGCGAGAAGATGGTGAGCCTAACTTTGCAAGGCTCCGTGATGTGCTTATAGAGAATTATACCAGTCTGTCTGACCTTACTGTCAGGACATGTTTGCTATATCTTGGTATATTCCCAATCGACCGCCCTCTCAGGAAGAACGTCATAATCAGGCGATGGATGGCTGAAGGATATGCAAGAAGCGAAGACATTACATTGAGTGAACAGAGTGTAGCAAATGGAAATTTGAAGACATTCATTGACCGGAATATTATCCTTCCTGTTAAAATAAGTAAAAATGCAGAGGTGAAAACATGCAAAGCGCATGCCATCATACATGAATTCCTGTTGCATAGGTCCATGTGTGAGAAATTCATCATGTGCTCTTCAAGGGACAAAATAGTTCGTCACATCTTTGTCCATGGTGATGTTGGTAGTGACACAAATTCCACAGAAACCTGGAACATGGACTTATCTCGTGTACGGTCTCTGACAGTTCGTCGTAGTGCAGGTTGTTCTATTTCTGATTTTGGCAAGTATAAACTGATCAGAGTGTTGGATCTTGAAGAATGCACTGACATGAAAGATAGCCATCTCAAGAAGATATGCAAGCTGTGGAATCTGAGATACCTAAGTCTTAGCCACGATATTACAAGGCTTCCAAAGGAAATTGCAAAGCTCAAACTTTTGGAGACACTTGCTCTGAGCAAAACGGTGGTGACTACGTTGCCTGTGGAAGTCATAGGGCTGCCCTGTTTAACTAATCTCATTGGAAAGTTTAAACTTTTGGATCAAGATTGGAAATCAAGTAGTGAACAAGAGCGACAGTCTAAAAGTAATGAACTGGAAGAACTGTGCAGAAACAGTAAGATGGAGACCCTGGCAGGATTGGTTGTCGATACAGGGCAGTTACAAGGATTGCTGCATCTCACGCTCCATATGAAGAACCTGAGAAAAGTTAAGATTTGGTTTGAGTCAACAGAAGTCATAGACGACTTCAGTGATTTCAATAATGATCTGGTG